TAAGAGTCGTGAGGGAGGGATGTTAAACTTGCAGCAACAGCAAAGTAACAATAAGTGCTTTTTTCTCTGTCGAATCCCATATTACTCAAACCACACTTTTCAACCCACCTACATATCGAAATCAAATGTAATCATCCACTAAGATTCGTATGAATAAGATTCAGATCAAACTAATTATTGGAAATTTTAGTATACCTCTTAAGTTCATTAAGTTATCAGCTTGTTTCCCATATTTATCAGCTTATTAAATCAGCTTGTTTAAATCAGCCTCCATATTTGTTTAGTTGATTTATGTCCTGCAGTAGAATATAATCAGGTTGCATGATTATTTCTGCCGGACCTCCTTGATTAGTAGCAATCTAAATGCTTCATACAAAGCAGGTTGCACAAAAGCTCCCTTTGTATCAGCAATGCAGCGATACAGCTCTCCGTTGCGAAATCGATCAGTCTGCGCAGCAATCCATCTGAACTGGCCCTTTAGTTGATACTTTTGAATTAAATCATGCATCTTCTTTATTTTTGCCATTTCCTCTCTTAACATCAAATCATTAACACCTCACATAGTATTGACTTTGGCCGAAAAGGAAAACCATAAGGATGTTGACAAACTAAAAAATTTGACTTTGGCCGATGTTGACAAACTAAAAAATTTGATTTTACACAACGCTATAGTAATGACTTTGGCCGAAAAGGAAAACCATAAGGATGAGGTCATCCCTAAAAATGTTCAGCAGTTCTGGATCTCTTGTCCTGCCAATGATAAGTTGCTCTACATCCTAACTATGTTGAAGTTGGAGTTAGTCCAAAAGAAAGTTTTGATATTCACTATTGTACATCCTTGCTATGTTGAAGTTGGAGTTCAGCAGTTCTGGATCATAATGGTAAGATTTAGGACATTTACTAACCGTCTGACTTAGTCATCCCACCTTGAGAAAAAATGTTCTATGGGATATTATCATTTCCCTTCTTCATGACTCCATGACATGACTATTCCCATTAAATCATACTATGGAAACCAGTAGAAGTACATACCATATCGCTCCACATTGCTTGCGTAGTATTTTAACGAAATGATTATATATTCAAATGGGAAGACAGCATGTCATGACCTTACTTGAACAGGATCTGTTCTATAGGCTCGTACTAATGCTGTTCTTGATCTTGCTATGCATATTTGTTTAGTTGATTTATGTCCTGCAGTAGAATACAATCAGTAGTGCAGATTTGAATCCCTTAGAACCTGACTAAATGTTGCAGTAGTGCAGATTTGAATCCCTTAGAACCTGACTAAATGTTGCAGTTTAATGCATTGATCTTGCTATTTTATATGTAAGTTTAGCAAGTTTACAAAAGCTGATTATTGGATTTGGTTAGAGACAACAAAATCTTGGGCCTCCCTTGAAAGTAAGGTTCTCTTTGGCTATTGAGATGGAAGTAATTGACCTATCATATAATTGCAATTAATGCATTGCATAGGGATTGACCCACCGGTACCATATATCAAGTGGCTACGTATAACCTAGATTTAACAAATATCGTATTCTAAATCATCATAAATAGCCAAACTTAACACACAAAATCATATTCTTCATCCAACATCATACCATCCTCATCTTCATTGTCACAGTCTGACTGCTCTTCATCAGAGTCATTATCAAACCATGCAGCCTGAAAACAAAAATAAATACTAGATACCTATAATTTCCTTACTAGATACATGGTGAGCAGAAATGTGAGGAATATATATATGTAATCAGAAGTGAATCAAGTACATACCTGGTACTCTGAAGTGCCAGCAGGAAGATTCCTCTTTCTTAACTTTTTTTGCTTTCGATCTTCATCGGCCTGTGCCATTTCAGCCTCTGTTGGCCATGTCTGTCAACAAGTAATAATGTCATACCAAAACACTACTTTAGAAAACATTCTTGCAAATAAATAAACACATGCTATTAAGATAATGCCCCCACAAACTTATTAATGCGCTTTGTTTAGGGAAAAGGGGGCTGATTCTAAGCTAAAGAGTGAACTTAGACAACGGGCTACAGCTAATTGAATTATAAGATAATCAACAGAGCATGTTCTGTCATACTATATTATAAAAAGTAAAATTAGAAAATACTCTAATGCACCCAAAAACTTGTTAAAGCACTTTGTTTAGGGAAAGGGGGGCGGATTCTAAGCTAAAAGGAGTGAAATTGGATAACGGGCTACAACTGATTGAATTATAAGATAATCATCAGAGCCTGCTTTGTCATACTATACTACACTATAAAAAATAAAATTAGAAAATACTCTAATCATCAACTAAAATGATGCCAATCAATAAATTAGGACGAAAAGCCGAGTTATGATGATGCTGATGAGTGTCAATGGTTTTAAATTTAAGCCGAAATTCGCCGCGGCTTTAACAATAAACAATCCAATAAGAGGCCTTAAATTCTATTCTCCATGACATGAAATATGCAACTAAACTAAGTAATGTAGTGACAGACATAACTGTCAATATGTTTTCTATGGCATTCAAATGAGAAGTTTATTTCATTCAAAACAAGAGTGGCAAATTGTTCAGAAATGGACTCAGAACTTACTAGAATTTCTCATTTAAATAAGTTAATAGATATTCAACTTATGAAGAGTCCTTTTAAATTTATAGATATTTTGGAAGAAGGTAAATTAGGGAATAGGATATGATAGAAATAATATCCTGTTAATGTAAAAAATAATAATGTAAAAAATAATATTTTGCAGATTATAATTTATTTGTTGACAATGATGTAAAAAATAATATTTGTATTTAGAGTGTTTTTTTTGGAAGAAGGTAAATTAGGGAATAGATATTTATAGATATTTTTGCAGATTATAATTTATTTGTTGACAATGATGTAAAAAATAATATTTGTATTTAGAGTGTTTTTTTTTATAGGATTTGCTTTGAACTTTATTCTTGTATCTATCTATGTCTATTTTTTGAAGAAATGGATAAGTCATGGATTACTAAGCCACAGTCATCGATTGCATATCAGCAAGGGATAAAAGAATTTATTGATTTTGCATTTAAAGGTGCAAAAGAAAATGACGTAGTAATATGCCCTTGTAAACACTGCGGTTTCAAAAAATCAAAGAGTAGGAGTGACATGTTCGACCACTTAATGTGGTCACCATTTCCGCAGGGATACACCATGTGGATTCATCATGGAGAGTCCTTTGTTGTACCTAGTACTATCTCCCCTAGTACTACTCAAAATATGGTTGAAGATACTATCATTTTCGAAGATCCTATTCATAACATGATCAATGATGCATTTGGAGTTGATATGAATCATGCTAATGAAATACCATCTGCGTCAAATTTAGAGATTGGCCAAGAAGATTATGTGATGCTAAGTGCAACTCAGGAAAGAAACGAAGCCAAAGAGTACTATGAATTGACTAGAGAAGGAGAACAACCTTTGTATGAAGGGTGTAGACGATATTCAAGACTATCTTTTTTGGTTAAGTTGTACCATATAAAGTGTTTATGTGGATTGAGTGAGAAGGCAATGACAATGATTTTAGAGTTAATTAAAGATGCATTTGAATATGCAAACATTCCAGGTTCGTTCCATGAAGCCAAGAAATCAATCACAAAACTTGGTTTGAATTATGTAAAGATACCTGCATGTCCAAACGGTTGTATGCTTTATTGGGGAGAAGATGAAGAAAGGGAGACTTGCAAAAATTGCAACACGTCAAAATGGAAAACAAATGAAGCGGTCTTTGTTAACAAGAAAAAGAAAAAAATTCCTGCCAAGGTTCTTCGTTATTTTCCATTAAAACCTCGATTACAGAGATTATTTTTGTCATCAAAGACGGCAGAGGATATGAGATGGCACGCAACAGATGCTAACAACGATGGAATGTTGAGGCATCCTAGAGATTCAGAAGCTTGGAAGAAATTTGACTTGACACATACTTGGTTTTCATCAGATCCGCGAAATGTGCGTCTTGCATTGGCTAGTGATGGTTTTAATCCTTTTGGTGTGATGAGTACAAACAATAGTATTTGGCCAGTTGTTCTCATTCCATATAACACTCCTCCATGGGTTTGCATGAAACAAACATCATTTATAATGTCGATGATAATTCCTGGAAAAGAAGCACCAGGAAATAATATTGATGTCTACTTACAACCCTTAGTCAAAGAGCTGAAAGAGTTATGGGAAAATGGCGTGGATACATACGATTCTTTCAAGAAAGAGATGTTCAAGTTGCATGCAAATTTGATGTGGACGATTAGTGACTTTCCAGGTATGGGCGCACTTTCTGGGTGGAACACATACACAGGGCTTGCTTGCCCATCGTGTAACTTTCAAACTACACCCCTTCGTCTTAAAGCTAGCCGTAAATGGTGTTTTATGGGTCATCGTCGTTTCCTTGACCGGAGACACAGGTTTAGATTGAACAGGATCCGCTTTAATGGTGAACAAGAAATACGGAGTCCACCGAGAACATTATCTGGACATGAAGTTTTTGAACAGGTTAAAGATATTGAAGTCATCTTTGGTAAAAAGTCAGTGAGAGAAAAATCACTAAAAAGAACATTTGAGGGACAGCCTATAGAAGGTGATAGTACACAGTGTGATCCTATACTAGGTCATCCTCAACAATGGAGAAAAAAGAGCATATTTTTTGAACTTCCGTATTGGAAGGATAATCTTCTGCGCCATAATCTTGATCCAATGCATATTGAGAAAAATGTGTGTGATAATGTCCTATTTACTTTACTAAATGATAGGCAAAAAAGTAAAGACAATTCTAAAGCTAGAGATGACCTTTAAAACATGGGTATAAGACCCGATCTTTGGCCTGATGAAAATGGTAGAATTTCTCCGGCAGCCTTTACTTTAATGGGTAAAGATAAAAGGAATTTTTTAACAACTTTAAGGAATATTAGGGTGCCTGATGGTTATTCGAGCAACATTTCTAGATGCATTGATTTAGTAAATCTCAAGGTGAATGGAATGATGAAGAGTCATGATTGTCATATATTAATGGAACAACTCCTACCATTAGCCATTCGCAACACATTACCTCATGAGATTTCAGCAGTTTTGATTGAGTTGTGCTCATTCTTTAGACAATTATGTGCCAAGGTATTGAAAATTGAAGAATTGGAAAAATTGCAAAACCAAATTGTCCTTACTTTATGCCATATGGAAATGTTATTTCCTCCCTCGTTCTTCACGGTTATGGTTCACTTGGTTGTTCACCTTGTTGAAGAAGTGAAACTTGGAGGTCCTGTTCATTATCGATGGATGTATCCTGTTGAAAGGTAAACTATGTGATTTTATTTTATTGTTACTAACTAATAAAGTAGAAAGATTTTTTTAACCGATAGTATTGTGGTTCAATAATAGATACTTGGGAAAACTTAAATCGCATGTACGTAATAAGGCAAATCCAGAAGGGTCTATTGCAGAAGGATACCGTTTTGAAGAGATTCTTACATTTTGTTCAAGATATCTAGAAAATATTGAAACTAGATGGAATCAACCTGGACGTGTAGATGATGACCCTATTGGTGATATCCAAACAGGATCACGTGTAGCCGAATTATTTCCTATATTTGGAAAACCCGTGGGTGGATCTTCTTATTACACCCTAACACCAATTGAAAAGTTGCAGGCTCATAGACACATTTTAACGAATTGTCCAATAGTTGACGACTATCTAAAGTAAGTAGGTTTATGCCATTTAAGTAGTTTCATTTGCATTATTAATACTTTTTTTTTACATCTAATATCAAATAACCAAATAGGCAGTTCCGAAGTATTACTCAGAATCAACTGAAGCGCAGTCAAAGAAGTGCTGCTGAGATAGATAAGAAGGTTCATAGAGAATTTGCTCACTGGTTCCGCAATCGTGTGAGTTTTTGTACAAAAATAGATGTTTTAATTGAATTGGATTTTAATAATAACAAGACTAATTAGATGTTGTATCGTGTATAGATTTGCAACAATCTTGACAACATTCATGGACCAGATAAAGATGTTCTCATTAGCCTTGCTTATGGCCCTTTTGATAAAGTTAAAAGATTTACTGCGTTCAATGTCAATGGATTCAAATTTCGAACATTGGAACGAGATAATCTTTTAAAAACTCAAAATAGTGGCGTTTTTGGCTTGTTTGGGACGCGAAGTTATTCAAGCAATAGTGATACCCAAATGAGATTTGGAGGGGTCCCTTACTATGGAAGATTGGTAGACATTATTGTGCTTTCCTACGATGGCTTCACAGTGCCCATGTTTAAATGTGAATGGGCTAATACCACAAACCCAAGAGGCATTAAGATAGATAAGTTGGGTTTTACTTCTATAAACTTTACAAAACTACTACATTCTGGGGAACATGAAGATAATGAGCCGTACATTCAAGCGTCAGAAGCTCAGATGGTTTTTTATGTGGATGATGAGAATGAACAAGGGTGGAGCATACCTATTCATTTGAAGCCAAGAGACTTGTATGACATGGGTGGAAATGATGAAATTATGTCACCCATTGAGCCATATCCATCACAAAATTTGGAACAAATTTTTTCGAATGATGATATTGGAACTTCATCAGCAAATGATAACAATAATTAACATATAGTTTTTTTATTGATAAGAAATTTAGTTTGTTGCTATAATTAACATTATTACTTTATGTTTTTTTGTTGTTTATCCATAATTAATGCGTGAGATGACATTACTATTCTATATTTTATTGCATAAATTATTCTTTTAATTTATTGTGTTTGCGTTATGTTTATTAAATTTATAGTCACTAATATAAAATTTTGATGTTTACTATTATTAGTGTATTGTCTTTTTAATACATATACTTGCAGTTGAAGCCTTTTGTGAGACAATGATTTCATCATATGAGGAAATTCGCCTCAAAAGGATTGCAGAGAATAAAAAAAAGCTAGAGGCTCTCAATCTTCCAAAGCTCTCTCAATCCCTTCACAAAACACCTTCGTCTTCTTCCAAACCATCACCGGTTAGTAATAAATTCTCAATACTAGTCTATAAAAATTAATTGTATTAATTGTTGATTGATATTCACTGATGTATTTTATTTAGCCTGTGAAGGGTCGTCCAAGGTTTGTACAACCTGGAGAGCTTGAAGTAAATAAGAAGCGCCTACGTTCAGCTACAATGTGCAAATCATCAATAATCCCTCCGCCAATCAAAACTACAATAACTCTTCCGCCAATTCAAACTAAAATTACCCCTATGCCAATTGAAACTACAATAACGCATTTGCCAATACAAACTACAAAAGATGTTGTGATAGAAGATGAGGATGAAGATGTTGTGGTAGGAGACGAGACCGAAGATGACGTGGTAGGAGATGAGGTTGAAGATGTTGTGGTAGGAGATGAGGCTGAAGATGTTGTGGTAGAAGATGTGACTGAAGCTGTTGTAAAAGTGGCTAAATCTGTGTATTGGGATGTAAATGTCATTAGTAAGTAATTTAAGGTTAAAGTATTTGTAAATAATTTAATTTTTTTACATAGTTGAGTTATGACACTAATTTGCTTACTTGTTTATGTGATAGATGAGGAAGGTTATGTTTCAAATACACGTTTATGTGTGAAAGACTTGGTTGCAAAATCAAAGTCTGATGGAACATGGATAATACTTGAATTTGATAAGGATCATTGTGCAATAGGACCAGCTTCTGGTTTGTTAGCAGGGTATTTAGGTATAATTATTAGAATGTTTAAAGACTTTCCCATAATGTTCGAGAGTTGGAAGGATATTCCAGCGGATACAAAAACAAAGTTTTATGATTCAAAGATAAAGGTATCATTAATAAACAATTACATATTTTTTAAATTAATTTCAAGGTGATTATTATTTGCTTTGTTAACTAATTTTTATTTTTATGGTTAGCTCCACTTTCTTGTTGATGATGGGCGTGACAAAGAATTCATACTTGCTTCTGCTGCAAAGAAATGGAAGGATGGCCGACATCAATTGTTTCGCAAATTTTATAAATGGGATCTCAGTTTGGAGGAAAATCTTCAAAATTATCCAATATGCAGAGGCATTCTGGAAAATGATTGGGCTGTTTTTGTTCAATATAGGCGGAAAGAAAAAACACAGGTAACATTAGTGCTTTTATTTGTTAGATTTATCTGGTTTGTATGTTATCCCTATCTATAACGCATATTTTTAATTGTTAACTATGTAGAAAATAGCTCAAAAAAATGCCCAAAATAGAGCAAAATTGAAGACTCCACATACACTCGGATCTAAGTCGCTTGCAAGGAAGAAACATGAGTTGGTATGTCTAAATTTATATATATTTGAATGTATTACTGATGGTAAAAATAATTAATATATTTTCTTATTCGTAGGAATCGAGAGATGGACGAACATACAGTAGAGGAGAAATGTATGCAGTTTCTCATAAAAAGTCTGACGGATCTTTTGTCAGCGAAGATGCATACAATAATAATGTAAGTACAAGTTAATTCTTTTTAAATATGTGTTAGTATCCTTAAGGTATGAGAAAAAATCAAACCTTTTGGCATCTCTTAAAGATGGGGAGAACTGTCGCTTGCGCGAAAATAAGGTGCCGGCATGACAGAAGAGTCGCCACCTTTCGTTATTTATCCCTCAGGGCGGGAAAGGAAACGATCGGAAAAACCTGACGAAAAAGGGTAAGACAAGGTCGTCCCAACCATTGTCTGGGTTCGGGAGTCGGTTACGCAAGGGGAAGGTATTAGCACCCCTCACGTCCGTCGTACTCGACGGGATCCTCGCTTATGTGTTTACTTGGACGGGTTGGTTATAATCTATCTACCTATCAAGGCTGGCTGAAAAAGAAAAGAAAATGACTCGGCAAAGCGTCGCGCTTTATGCCTACGTATTCCCGTCTGGAACGAGAAATCAGAGTCAACGTAGTTCGGCTAACTACGGGGGAAGATGGGGAAGGTTGCTCGCTAGGATATCGCATCCTATGCCTACGTACTTTCATCTGGTATGAAAGATCAGAGCAAACGTAGTTCGGGAAACTACGGGAAACAGCTCAACTAGGAGGGAGACTATCAAGTCCTACTGTTATCATGCCATGGATTCATCCTATGGTTGAGATTTGAACAGGGAACTCCTAGATGTTGTCATGCATAGGTTTCAACCTAAAAGTCTATCATCAAATCCTCATCAGAGGAAATGAGAGTCCTAAGGGATCATGTCAACGATACACAGAAACAGACAAAAACATCAGTTTTAACAGTAAAATGCATGCAATGCAAGTGAGGGAGGAAATGTGTGTGGGGCTTCAACCTCCACAAGCTCATCTCGACCTCAAGCCAGTCATGAAATAACAGTAATCATACTGAAAATAAACAACATGCTATCAAGCAATAACAGATAAAAGAAGGGAAGTGCCATCAGGCAAACAAAACACACATGAGAAAGAATCATCTATTCTCTAATCCTAACCCTAATCACAGAATCTAAACAGATCTAAGCAAAGCTCTCAAGCAAACCCTAAACAAGAGAAATCATTCCCAGTCTTCAAGCTTCAGACCAAGCTTACCAAAGAAAGGGAGCTAAGCAAGCAGACTCATAGTGTCTTCCTCAGGAAAGCACTAAGAGGTGTATACTCAGGAGTCATACCCTATGTGGCTCAACCACTGTGATCAGTTTACATTCCTCCTCAGGAGAAATTAAACTCACAAGCAGGCTCCAACATCACTGGATATTTAGGAAATCCTATCTGAACTAGTGGAGCTAAGTGAATAGACTCATAGGACCTTCCTCAGGAAAGTACTAGGAGGCTTCCACTTAGGAGTTGTATCCCATGTGGCTCAACAACATGTGATCAGTTTACCTTCCTCCTCAGGAGAAATTAAACTCACAAGTTGGCTCCAACATCATTGGATACTTGAGAAATCCTAGACAAACTAGTGGAGCTAAGTGAATAGACTCATAGGACCTTCCTCAGGAAAGTACTAGGAGGCTTCCACTTAGGAGTTGTATCCCATGTGGCTCAACAACATGTGATCAGTTTACATTCCTCCTCAGGAGAAATTAAACTCACAAGTTGGCTCCAACATCATTGGATACTTAAGAAAGAGGTGAGAAGGAAGGATGAAAGTCATTCATGGTGCCTTCCTCAGGAAAGTACCATGAACTTCCTTCAAACTTCAGGATCTCAAACCTCACAGACAGGGAATAAGACAAGCTCTGGGTCTCTGAATCTTGGTCTACAAGCTTCCCTTCATGATGCTCTCCATCAAAGTCTTCAAGGCAACACAAGCCCCTCAGCAAATTCCTCAGAATGAACCCCACAGATGAACAGATAACCACAGGGGACACTAAATCCATAGGTAACTTCAGAAAATACCTAAAAATGCTAAACTAATGGGGAAAAATTTAACAATTATTCACAAGGGTCCTCAACACCTACTCATAACATCTACTAAGGTCTCTACCTAAAAATCAAGATAAAACTCAATCAAAGAAAGGGATTCATCACCTAAACACAATCTAAACCCTAATCAGGATACCCTAAGTCTACCCTAATTAAACTAATCAAGATTTAATTCTAAAAATCTAGAAAAAAACCTATGGGGAACTATGACTCATCATCTAATTGCACAAAAAAGAATGGGTTAAAAAACCTAATGGAAGGTTCTAAAATAATTCCTACAAAATCATGACACAAAATTAAACAATTAAAAAGCTATTTAATTGGAAAATCTATTAAAAATATTAAACCTAAAAATAAAATCTCAATTTTATTTTTATAATTTTCTACTCATTTTAATCTAATCATAGAAAAAAAAGAATTTAAAAATCATTTTCTATCAATTTTTAATGAATTAAACAAAAACAGAAAATATTAAAAGAAAATTAAAAAGAAATAAAATGAATAAAGGGAGGGGGGGTTAGAATAGCACATCAGACTAGTTAAAACCAATTGGGCCAAATAAAAGGGGGGGTGCGAAGAGGAATTGAGCCCAGAACGGTCCTTTAATGAAACGACCGTGTTTCATTAGTTCAAACTTTCCCTCTCTTTCTCAGGTTTAATCAAGGCCGTTGGATCTAAAGAATTGGTCAAAATGAGAGACCAATCTAGTGGTTCTCCTTCATCGTCCCAAAGGGGACCTAGGGTTTGCAGAACCCTCTCCACCATGCAACCAAATTCGAGCTCCTCTAACTCCTCGCTCAGGCCACGGTTTCACTTGATCCAAAAATGAAAAACGCTCTACTCAATGCCTAGAATAAGATGGTACGAGTAGATTTTTCTAATTCCACCTAGGTGGTTCTAACAGAATGCTTAAACACCTTGGTACAAACACGGTTCAAAATTTCCAACTGACATCAATCTTCACTAAACTCAAAACCAAAGCTACAATCTTGTTCTACATGCTATCCTGGTGATTCTAACCTAATTCTTGCTTCCTAAAACTCATTAAACAGCCAGTTCTTGAAAATTAAAGTTTGATGCACCTGCCATGGAACCTCATGGAATGAGCTATAACTTCTAGGGTTTAGTCATCTACCCTAACACAATCATTCTATACCTATAAAACCAACTAAAACTCAATAATTAAGATGGAAAAAAGTGAAGAAAGAACCTG